CATTCTAAGAGGATCCTCTTATTTACTAGTGGGGTAGCAGATAGGTTTACCTACTAGTCCCCTACTAGATATTTTAGACTAGTACCCGATCTGACGACCGTTATGAAAGTAGTTAAGGAATTAAAAGACTCTACATTTCACTCTTATAGAGTTATACAAAATCGGAAAGTAAATCATTGGCTCTATATATGTAATTCAAAAAACAAAAAATTAAGAAAGTAATTTCTCATTATGATGAAAATGTATTAAAAAATGTAAAGAAAAACTCTCGCAAAACTCGATAATTAGTAAAGTGTGAATTTCACACTAAAAATATATCTCAATTGAGAGGAATGGAAAAAGTGTAGTTCAGCAGTGTGAGATTTAAGTAGATATTGTAATTTATCCCAGTTTTCAAATTCTACCACCAGATGACTCGCATTCTCGGTACACATATATGTATATAGTATGTTTGTGAACGCGGATGCTGCAAACTTGTTTCTCTCTCCTTGTCTCATCTCGTTGTCAGTAGGGAGCTTCAGCTGCAACCAATCGGCTAACGGCTTTATCATGAACCGTTCTTCCATTGGCTGAACATCAGACTCCTATCGAGCGGGAGGCTGAAAGGCCGCGCCTAGCTTACAGACGAGGTCGCGCTTTACCCCGCGTATATTTTTACCTTCTCTCACTCCTTCACAGACACATGCGCTCCCTCTTCCTTTAGTGTCACTTCAGTCACAGTATTTTTTCTTTTTTTAATATTTTCCCATTTTTAGTTTTATTAATATTGTTAGACAATTTTTTTCAAAGTTTTATATTTTCTATTTAAAAATTTTGTTTCCTTAGTAATTATTATAATTATTATTATTATTTTGAGAGGAATAGATTGCAATTCAAGCTGATATTATAATTGTAGATTTTAAAAGTGTGTAATAAACAACCCCGTGTAGAAATTGAAAATAGGACTTAGTAAGGCCCTGAATAGACGTCCTTTCGTTTAGTAAGGCGCAAACTAGGAAAATTAGTCAGGTCCCGCCTAACTTCGTCACGCTTGAAATATCAGGTGATGATGTGTAAAGATAGAGAGGTTCTAACTAGATTGCCTTGTCACTGCCTGAATAGAAAAACACAATGTGGGGATTTAACTAGAGGGCCTCTTTAGCGCCTCATTAGTTTTTCTAAATACCAAAGCAAAAATTTACGACAGGCGTAATATTGCGCCAGTAATACTGAACAAGTTACTGAACAAACACACATGTAAACAACACTGTTTCGACCAATCAACCTATGACTAACTTAACACTAACACTAACGCATACCTAACACTAACTCGCACGCTATGAATCTACTTTCTCATCGTCCTTATATACTAAACAGAACATTTCTTTACCACTTGTGAGAAAAAGTGCAATATTTTGAAATTTAAAAATAGCAAATATTTTTGCTCAAATAGTTTTTATATTTTAAATAGTATTTTAATATGCGTTTAGAACTATTTTTCTGATTAATTTCATTGCTTATTATTTAGAAATTAGGATTTTTCAATGAAATTAATAATTAATTTAAATACTTAATAGGGGCATAAATAGATCTAGTTAGATTTTCCTATTTGGAAAATGAAAGCATTCTAGTCAGTGCCCTATTACCACCTATCTAGACAGTACTAGTGTGGTTGGCCTCACTAAATCCTCATCAGTGCCCTTTTTCAAATAAGGCGAAGTCGGGCAATTTCCACACGGGACGGGACAAGAATAATAATTAATTATGCATATATTTTTTTATCAATGAGAAAAAATTTTTGCATCCTTCATTGGAAATTATTTGGTCGAAAGCTAGCAGAGATAAATTTTTTTATCTAATTAGTGAAAAAAAATTGGTTAAGTAGTAATTAGTAGACATTAAATTAGTTAAAATCTGATAATAATTATAAAAGTACGAATTTACTCTTACAGATTTGATATAAGTGGGGGATTTTAACTCTTTTTGACATTTACATTAACTCCGGAAAGAGTTAACACAAATTATAACTTATTTTAGATGAATTTTACCAAATTTTACTATAAAAAAATAGTAATAGATTTTAATTATAAATTTTAACTCCGAAAGGCTATAAAATTTGACTTAACTTTTAGCTCTGAAATTTTTACTCCCAACTCCGATAAACATGAACTTTAAAATAAACAAAATTGCGTATGAGGAAATAGGAGCCTACAGACCTATACACTGAAGAAATGTTGAGTACCGTGCAATCCCAATCGTCGGAAAGTGGAGGAACTATAGTTTGGATGTGCTGCGATCTCAGTTCGGAAAATCTGCGTTCCTATGTCGGTGTCACTGAACACCCAAGATTTGAGACTCAAAACCTTGAGACTGCAATAGCCGCATCTTGGGCGCTCAGCACGCCCGAGTTGGAAATGCGGCTCCTCCAAACTAGAGTCGTATCGCATTCGTAAATTGTCAGTCTACTTGGAACGGCCCGTCACCCAAAATTTTTTCCGTGTAGACACTATGCTCTAACCACTATATGTTAACGACGCGTGTGTGCAGTAAAGTTTCCATTTCTCAGTATCACTGAGACTTACAATTATTGAATCAAAGATGAGAAAAAAGTAGGGATAAGTTAGAAATAATAAATGTAAATAATATAAATTAATCTAAATTTTTAATTATTAAATTAAATAACGTCACTTATTTTATTTAAAATTTTACTGTACTAATCATACATATATACTAACTTTTTTCAATTAACTTACATTTATAAACATTCATAATTTTTTTTACTATTTCTTTCAAGTATATGAAATAAAAAGCAATGTTGCCAAAGAGAATTGTATAATAGTATATTTCGTAACGAGTGCGAGCAGTTGTCAATTTTTGAATGAGCACTTTTTTTGAAACAAACTGTAGGCGAAGCAAAGCTTCGCTAAGTTCCAAAAAAAGTTCCAAAAAAGTGCTCGTTCAAAAATTGGCAACTGCTAGCACTAGTTATGAACGATATTTTTCATAACAAGGTGCAAAAAAGTGCCCTTTTCTGCACCGCGTTATGAAAAAAAATTTGCTATACTCAGCCAGTACTTGACGCCGAGACTTGTCTGAATTTTGGGGAGACAAAAATTCTGTACTGCACCAGCACTAATTGTCGAGGCTCGGTTGCACATTAGGCAAGTCGGTGGTAGGCATTAGCTCTACAATGTCATATCCCATTGGGTTATGTTCAACTATTATATGTAAGGCTTACTTCAAAATCCAAAATATTGACTAAAATCTTTCTATATTTTTTCGGTGTACATTTTTTTGACAATTTTTTATTGGACATGTCGTAAAATCATTTCAGAGTTAAAATAATACTATAATTAGGAATTAGCATTAAAGAATTATTATCAAATTAACTTTAAATTTTTGAAAATTAATTTAATTTTTAATTTAAAGGTAACTCAAGTCGAGTTTCAAATTTTTTAAAAATAAATCTGAATATTTTCGAAATTATTAAAAGAACACTTGAAAAATTTATAAACTTTTAAAAGTTCTACCTTTTCCACGATTTTCAGAGAACTTTTAAAAATTACACGATTTTTCATGATTACTAGGTTCTGTAGAAATTCTGGAAAGTTGACTATAAAATTATTATATTTTACTCCTACACTCAACAAATTCACAGTATAGAATACTATAATACCGCATTTAACTATATATAGAAAAGTTTGGAAGTTAAAGTCAATCAATCAGCCTTCGGAGAGAGTAACATTTTCCGAATTATACACTGTCAAAAATAAATCTTACTTTCAGTACGCTTTTGACTAAAACCGTTTACATAATTAGAAACATTTTTGACTGCGCATTTTAGCCTTGAAAGTATTGTTTTAAGTCCTAACATTGACTTAATCTATATATAGTAATGACTTCATCTAGTTTTAAGGTTAAAAATACGCTATACTTTTCAATCATTTTGGTTTTAAGATGTAAACGGTTTCTGACTGTGTTTTTCCTGAAGAAGAAGAATTAGAAGTTGTGAGGTAGTAAAAGTGAACTCTTCTCAGAGTTAATGCTGAGGAGTAAAATTTCAACCCTCTTAATTTTACTCCTTACAAATTCAGCGTTGTAATAACGATGTAATATTGGACCAGTACTGCGCCATGCCAGGGGAAATGGCAAACTCATGTAATCCGATTCCCATCGAGCGAATATCCAATTCCCTGGATTTAACTATTTTCTTGAGATGCACGAATATAGTTGAAATCTGATGCAGCAAGCGTCAGATGTGGTAGATTCGAGAGGGATGCGGAGGGCGTCGTGACGTGCGGTTGAGGATTTCGTTCACAGACACACACACACACGTATGCAATCAAGGGGTATGGGAATATTCACAAGAGCGCAAACGCCTGGCGTCGGGGATGCCCCTACGTCCCCATCCCTTGATCATTGCTTTAGCAAAACCCCTCCCCTCCAACCTCTCTCTCTCTCTCTCTGAACACTACCGGCGCTCCACCAGCCATCCCTCTTTTCTTCCTTCCTGACGTCTGTGCCGCGTTCCTGCCTCTCTAGCTCGACGACTAAAACACCGGGGGGACGCTTTCACGTTCCAAACTCGTCTTCGTCATATCAGCGGCGTTTTAGATTCAACGTTCGGCGAAATTTGTTTGTTTATTTGTTTCCTTCTTCTTCTTCTTCTCCGTTTTTTTGTTTACCCCCTTTTTCTCGTGATGTGCTTCGTTTCAAGTTAACATATCGATTTCCAGCGATGATACCTTCATACTGTTCCAGCTATCGCGTCACTGGCTCCGGCCGATCGTCCTGAACTCGAGAGCAGAGGACCGGTACGCGTTCAGCATTTTGTATTCTCGCTAATTACTCTCCGCACCAATACATATATATATATATATATATATATATAAAACAACGAACGAGTTGCGCGCTACTATAAAACTGATGGTGGTGGTGGTGGTGGTGGTGTCTGGTGGTGGTGCTGCTGCTGTTGTTGCTCTTACTGATTCGAGTTGGCCTTTCTGTATACGTGAATCAAATGCCACGCGATCGTGCCTACCCTGCTCCATCTTCTTGTCGCGTGCGGTAAATGAACTTCTCCCGATGACCGGAAAAGAGGCAAGAAGATATCGGTGATTTGCGATTTACGTGACTCGAAGACCTTCATTTTATTGATGAGAGGATGCTTTATGTTTTTGCTCTTTTAACCAGACGTCTATTTATGTATATATATATATATATATATATACAACCAGAAAAAGAGAAAGATCCTCATGCACCAAAATTCGAAGATTTAACTAAATGAAGGATCATTGTGCTTTGAAATTATTGTCGGAATCTGTATTCGTTGGGATAATTTTTGTGTAAGGGGAATTTTTTTCCTAAATGAAAATGACTTTTTACTCTGCAGTTTTTTTCTCCGCAGAAAATAAATTTGACTGAATCAACCAAATATTATAGAATATAACAAAGACCAAAATAAATCAGACAATAATGAATCAAGTAAAAATTAAAATAAACTTTATTTGTTTTTGGTTAATTCAATTTTTCCTCATTTACTTTTTTTATTTTGTACAATGTCTTTTCCAAAATTATTCAATTAATGCTTCTAACATTCAGCTTCCGTAACAATAATATTTCGGTTGAGCGATCAAAATTTTCTGGCTATGATAAATAAAAAATAGATACAAGTCTATTTTTTTATAAATCAAAATTGTTTGATACTTATAAAGTCTAGTTCGACATGAATTGAAAATCTAATGATGATGAAAGGTATGTACACCGACACTTTTTAATTGAAGAGCTGGCAAGAGTTCAAATTCTAATATTAAAAAAACCACATCTACTATTATTTTGAGTATTTATATTATATTTATAATACACTTCTATTATACTATTATATAACAATGATATTTTGACAATTATTATATTATTTGAACTACTATTCAGTAATAATAATAATAACAATAACATTAATAGTATAATAATAAAAACAATAGTAAATTATATTATTATTAAAATCAACAGTAAATAGTTATAAAGTAGTAATAAAAAAAACAATGAAAACATAGTAAAATACTAAGAAAATTAATATTTGTAATAAAATTTCATTAATTAATATGGAATAAAAATTAAATGAAAGAATGCAAAATAATTTGCCTTAATTTACTGAAATTAAAATAAATTAATTGAAAACATATTACAATTAAGTATCAAGCACATAATATTATTCTGCCGACGGTAGCAATTGTTTCTTCGTACATAAAATAATTCTTCAAAAAGCACTAGAAAATAAGATTCATAAATAAAGTGCAATTACTTATAGTACAAAAAAGCTTTTTTTCTATTTGATTTTTAATCATCATAAATATAAAAAATAGTAGCAAAGAATAATAACAAGCTTACACGGAGAGACCGAGGTTACTAATTTTTGTATAAAATCACACTAGAATTTACTATTTTCACATTGCAACCACCGGAAATAAGGGGACTTTTTGTATTTTTTACTATTTTCTACACTAAGTCACTAATCCGACAAATGTTCACCAAATTAACAAATTTTCTTACTATTTCGCCCAATAGTTACAAACAACTGTAGTAAACTCAGAAATATTGTGTACGTAAAATTACTATAGTCGTTTGTAAATGCAGAAAGAAAGAGTGAAAGAAAAAATACGGATTTTTGTCGCCGGTTTCCCGTCAATTCTTGACTAATGAAGTCACACTTATATATTTGTTGGATAAATATTTGAAGACACACACATGTTTATTTCACTTATATGTATAGACGCGGTTAATTACTACACTAATACACAACTGCACGCACGACAACGAATTTCACTGAAAGTATACATCTTTGTTTCCTTATATATTGAATGATGAAAATTTACAGCACTTACGAGAAAGCAGTTTACTTTTAACAACTTATTATAAGACATAGTTCTTGGGACAGGAATAAATGCAAAATTTATTAATTTATAATGGTCAATTTCTGAGATAACGAACGACCTACGTTTCACTTTATATTTAATTATTGTAGATAATATCCAAATTTATTTTACATATACGCGAAACATAGTCACTGTCAATGATCGGATGTCATCGGCTCATTTACGGAGATTGACGAAGTTAGCAACCAATAGAAATGCAGGCGCCATATGACTGCACTCGCTAGCCACACTTGCTCACCAAAAATTACTACAGTGGATAGTAGGTTTTAGTGGAAAATGTTTTCATTTGTCAGACTTTGTCTAATTAAATTAGAGAAAACTATAATCAATTTTTGCTACATTTACAACTCTTACACAAAATATTAAAACTTGCTATTTCAATGTAGCAAATTTATCTATTTCTTTTGTAAATTTATCTAATTCTGTAGTACATTATGCTAAAAGTCCCCTTATTTCCGGTCATTGCAATCATTTTTAGTAATTTTTACAAATGTGGGTCTCTCCGTGTAATTAAAAAGCTTAATTCCTAATAAAAAGCTCTTTCACAGGAAACATAAAGTCTTTTATTTTTTATCTTTAAACTCTATGGTTTCTTAAAAAAATAATAACAAATTTTGCTTAAATTTCAATTTGCAAAAAACTACAGAATTTAGACCCTTTTGTGTCTCAATTTTAAAAAGTTTTACATTAAAAGAAAAATCTTATTTTAAAATAAAGGTAAAGTTATAATTCACTCTTAAAAGTAAGAGTATTTTTTAATTTAATCTTTAAATTGTGTGAAAATAAAATGCTTATAGATCTAATCTACTTGTGAAATTCAGATTAACATACACAGAAAAAACAAAGTCTGCAACCCTTTATACGTCTGAAAACAAAAATGATTTAAAACTAGCCTATTTCATTATAAGTAAAACGTATAGATTAAGTTACATTTAAGATACAAGATTATCAAGACAGTTTTCATAAATTTTCCGGAATAGTTTTTACAGCGATTGTCAACATGTTGAAATGTTGATAATTTTAAAATATATGACAACATATAGTTATCTTAAAAGTATCAAATTGATAACAAATATTTAAATCAATTTATGTTTAGATCCACATTTTTGGTATGACTTCATTACAATTTAATACTTTCAAGTTAACAGTCCCGTGTAGAAACTTGACAGGGCCCTAGCCGGATCCAGACTGGGCATCTCCAAACCGGGGTGAAACAATAAAACCGATTGGGGCCATGGCACAAAGCCCGATTGCCGAGCTCCCAGGCCAAGGCCCGGTGCAATAAACTGCTTAATTTTATTTGTGTATTTAATTATTTAATTATTTATTTATCTATTTTCAATTTACATTACATTGCAGTAGGTGGACAAGAATGAAAGATAGAATTGTTACATTTATCTAAATTATGACATTTAATCTATGACGCATGTGAATTTTGAATCAAAAGCATATTGATAAGAAGTTCACTCTAGTTTTAAGTATTCTTATCTTAAAGTAAGATTTTCTTCCTTCTATAAGGTATCTTATTACCTAGTTAATTAACGAAAGTTGAAAAATGATTAGAGTTAAATCCTTTCATGAATGAATAAGTAAAGCAAAATAAAAATGATCATGAAAAAGTAAAATTGAATAAAAAATTCAATGTCTAACATCAAAAATAGCAATGTTCCGTTGGCCAAAGTTGACCACCCTCATCAGGCCAAACAGAAAAAGAAAGAATATTTCCAAACTGAGATAAAATTTTCAATTTGCTCATCTACCTCCATGTAGAAATTACCACCGTTATTCAAGAAAGAGATGCATGAAAATAATCTTAGTTCACTGTCATCAATGTTAAATAAGTCATTAAAACATTTCAATTTTTAACATTATAAACAACCCATGAAGAAATTAAAATTGGAGTTTGATGGGGTTCTAGTCAGAAGTCCCTTTCTGTAGTGGGGAACTGATTAGGGAAAATAGTTGGAACCCAACTACTTTCATAACGGTCGTCAAATCGGGTAAAAGTCTAGAATATCTAGTCGGAAACTAGCAAGTAAAACTAGCTGCTACCCCAGAAGTGTAAAATAAACGGATCCTTTAAGAGATTTGTTATTAGTATTAATTATAACTATGTATATATAAATTAAAATTATATTAGTTTTAATTTTATCTAATGTAGAAAATTTGTTCACTCGCTTGTATACCTATTCTATCATTAACCTAACACGCACGCACGACACACTGCATTACTGACGCGATTATTTATGTTCTTTGTGTTTTAACAAATCAGGTATGATATCAATTTTTAATCACTTATAAACTACTGCTTCAGATTCAGATTAGAAAACTAATTTTACTTTTATTATGAGCCTCAAAGTGGATTGAATTTAAGAAAAAAACCCTACTATTTGTATGTTTCAAGACTTTACTTTCGCAGTCTACACTCATAGTTTCAGGATATATTGACTTATTCTAAACCCAAAAATGTTGGACAAAAATATTAATATGAGAAATATAATTTTTATTTTCAGAAGTATTTTGTCAAGTCATCTAATGTTTGTGGGTTGTGTTACGGAAAAAAGAAGTACTACAGTAATAATAGAACACGAATCGTAACAGGAAGGATTTCATATCGAAAAGTCTAGAAGGAAGACCCATCGAGGAGAGTAGCAGCAGCAGCAGCAGGCTTTCGCTGCAATTCACAATCGTGGACCAACGGAATTCGCCTCTGAAGCTTCCAACTGGCTGAGAATCGAATCCAGGTAGGTAAAAGAAGCGCAGAGAAGAGTCGAGAGAAGAAGGCGATCATTAAAATTTCTCAGACGAAGATAGTGTGACGGGGATCCTCGTGACATAAGCCGAAAGACCAGGGGCGTCCTACTTTCCTTGCCGTGTCTTTTCTTCTCAAGACTCTTCTTCTTCTTTCCCCTCTTCATTCTTATATATATTTTTTTCTTTTCAATCTTTTTATCATCCTTTCATTCTACCCCTCCTACTCTCTACTAATACTACTACTTTTTCCTTCTTTTCATTGTCTTCCATTTTTTCTCTTCCTATCGATCTAGTATAATTTACTCTGTTAAAAATAAGACTCGAACCTTACACCAAAAGATTGAAAATAATATAGTTTCAATCTCGAAAAGTGTGAATGTTTTCATTTCATTGGATAGATTAAAAACTTTAATCCAATGAAATGCAAACATTTACACTTGTGAGATTGAAAAAACAATTTTTCAATCTTTTTGGTGTAAATTTCTCCGATTTTTGACTACTCTCTAAATCTGTATTAGTAAAATTCTACTAAGAAATAGTAAAATTTTACAAATTTTTAGTAGTTTTCATGGACGACTAATAATAATAATAAACTAATTAAAATTAATTAATTAACTAATTTAATATAATTTTCCCTTTTCAATTAGTAGAATATTAATAATTTTTAGTAAAATATTACTAATGTTTTAGTAGAATTTGACTAATTGAAAGTTACTTATTTTACTAAATGAATTAATGAAACTGTTTTATCGACTATTAATAAAACAGTTCTACTCATTGATAGTAGAATTCTACTAAGCAATTAGTAAAGCTCACTAACAATTAGGGTAAGTCCAGGGAGATGACCAGTTCAAATATTTTGCAGAATTTGTAAAGAAATATCACTTATTATGGGTTATTCTTCAACCTTTTGTGACTACTAATAAATGTAAACAATAAATTGTTGGAAAATAATGAAAATGTTAGTGTAATCCTTCTACATTTTTTTGCATGGGTCTAAAATAATTTGAGAATTTTATATTTCTTATTGCTTATTGTTATTTTTAACACTAGAAAAACAAAGTTTAAATTTTAACCTGATTTTGGGGTAAATATTCGCTGCAACAAATTTTCACCTAAGTGAGGGCGCCACTTTCTATGTGAATTAGCATTGGTTAAAATTTCCCGCAACAAAATTTATACTATCTTTTTTTCTGTGAACATATTTTTTAATTTTAAGTTTTATTGAGTAGTGATATTTTTGTAGGTTTATGCGAAAGTTACAATCAAACGACATTGATTGAAATTGGACTAAGTGCAGTATTTGAAATTTTTGGCTACATGAAAACTGCACTGAATTCCATGATAAATGTTCAAAATGTGAACAACAGAAAATAAGAAAAAAGTAATTTGAAAGATTAAAATTAAGTTTAAGCTAAATGTAAAAAATTATAAGTATTGGCCATTTCTCCCGCATACATGTGGCCATCTCATTCGGACAATGAAAATATTTTTTTTTTGGTACTTTAAAGTTAAGTGTTCAATGTTTAATTATCAATAAAAGTTTTGACAAAAATTGCTTTTTTTTAATTTTTACAGTGCTTTTAAAAAACTATGGCCATCTCCCCCGGACTTAGGGGAGACCGGGGCGTAATGGCTAACTTTCCACTCTTTGTTATTTTACTCGGACATTTTTGTTCTAATTGAATGTTTATCTCCCAGAAAAGTTTCTCTGGTATCTCACCTTTCTTTTAAGACTACAAACGTCCCGATATGACTCTTACTTTTTATTCTACAACAGTTTTTCTGGAGCAATACAGCCCGAGCCGGGGCGTAATGAATAATGATTGCTAATTATTATCTACAGTTTCCAATCTTATTGTATATTGTAACCCGTGCAGAAATTAAAATGTGGGCCTGATAGGGTACTGGACAGTTTTCCCGATCGCTGGTGTGGCTCTGGGTAGAGAAAATGACCAGGCCCGACTAGTGAGTGACGCTGTTCCCGACCAATGCCCTACTTAGGGAAAAACTGGTCAGGGGCTCGTCAGTTTTTCTTAAAATTGCCCTATTTTGTGAGGTTAATTTTATTCAAAAGAAATTACAATAAAATTACTGTAATTAAAAATATTATTATATTAGAAACATAATGAACACAACATATTTATAGGTACATAACATAATGAGGTATTATAGTCATTTTGACTAATTTAAAAGTAAAAATGATAAAAATAATATAATTTCAAGAATAGAAAAACTTAAAAATTTTTGAAAAATATAATTTTTGGTTTTATGATTACAGTCAGGTCCCCATACTGTTAGATTCCAAACTGTTATGTCCTCAGTAGTGTTATGTTTTTGCATAACCTCCAAATTCAGAAGTGTTAGGTGACGTCACGTTACGTCACCAATTTTCAGGGCCGTATTCTTAAGCCCAAAGAAAAGAGGGCATATACTTCTAGGCCAAACTTGAGGTGTATATATTTACGTTCCTGAAAGTTGCGCAGTAGGCATACTTTGAGCACATAACAGAGCTGAGTCTGGAGGAGTGGGAAATTTCTGGAAATGTAACAGTATGGGGACCCGACTGTAATTCATTTTTCTTTTGGAGGTTGTCGCTCCTTTCTGCCTCCATAATTTTATAATATTAATAAAGGTTATAATTTCTGTTTTCAAATGTATAAGTAATAAATAAATATTTTATTCAAATTTATTAATTATGTTTAAAAAATAGTTATTAAATATTGAAGGTGTTAAATTTAACAATCTCTCCGAATCATTTTCTCACTTTAAGCTAATATAATATAAAATAATTATTATTATTAAAATAATATAATATATATACAAACCAAATGATAAATTCAATCCTACAAATTAATAAATTATTAAAATTCATTAAGTATAATTCGTTAATAATTGTTTATTAATTATTATTTTTTAAATTCATTATTTTTATTTTTAAATAAATGTATAATAATTAATTATTTAATAACTATTATTATTCGTTATTTATAATTTAGTTGTTTTTATTAATAAATAAACTTTATTATAATATTGTACTTAAAGGAAAATAAAATTATATGTATTTTCGTTTTTTAAATATATTACCATTATTATTTTATAAAGTGTTTTAAAAGAACACGCTTTTTAACTTAAATAACTGTATTAAAAAAGTTAATTTTAAAAAATTAAATTTATTTACATGCTTTTAAAACGAGGAAAACTGTCGAGGCCCTGATCAGAGCCATATTTCATATCTAGTGAACACCCCACTTAGGGTTTTGGCCAGAATTTCTGGTCAAACCCACAAAATAAAAGAATTATTAAAACGATAGTATAATTACTCTCTTTAATTGTATTCTTCAATTGTTCATTATTTTTTATTAAAAGTAATTTTAGAGATTTAATTTTTTTACACTTTATTTAAACAAGGAAAACTGTCGAGGCCCTGATCAGTACCTTATCTAAAATCTAATAAACACCCTACCTGGGGTTCTGGCTAGGAATTCTAGTCAAACCCCTAAAATAAAAAAATTATTAAATAACTAAAATAATGATTGCCTTTCATTGATAATAGCTTCTACAACAAAAAGGAATTCTAAAAACTTTATTTAAAAAAAAAATTAATAGGGAAAACTGTCCAGGCCCCGACCAGAACCCTGTTTTAAATAGGGCAAAGTGGGGCATTTTCTGCACGAGTATATACTCTAAAAATGAATTAATAAAACTTTTTAACTAATTTCAATTAATGCACAACTTTTTACTGTAGATATTTTTATGTATAGATACTGAGTATTCTAAAAATCTCTAAGAACATGTTTGTTTTCTAAACATTTCCCCCTCCATTCCCGTCGGAAATTTCATAAAATTCCGTTGGAATTTCCCTCTTAATGAAAATTATATTGAATCCTGTCAGTAGTTTAATGAAATCCCGTCAAAAATCCAATGTCATTTCGAATCTAATAGAAATAAAACTAATAAAATCTTTTTAGAAATCCAATTAATATGTTCCTAATAGACCGACAGAAATTATTCCGAAAGAATCATCAGGAGGAGATACATTTTCCGATGAATCATTCCAGGCAGGAAATTATATTAAAAGAATTTTTTCATTGGAGAAAATAAAATATTAATATAAAAACAAATTTGTCACTTTAATTTTGGAATAAATATTTTTCTTCAAATCAGATGTCTTAATTGTCCCATTAATTGATTATTTGAATGGAAGTATATATAGATATAATATATACAGTGATTAAGACAACGTCACTTCGTATAACACTCGCGGAAACCACGTGGTGGCTCGTAAATGTAATGGACACTGACTCGAGTAGGGTACACAACAACCTACCATCGCATCGTTTGCAAGGTCCTCCTACTAATTAGCTACCGGCTCGATTCGGTACTGATTTACTACCCTGACATATTCTGGCATTAACAAGAGGGAATCCTTTTCATTCATAGATTCTCGTGTGTTCAGTCACTGCCTTCTTTCCTACACTACTTAGAAATACGTATGTATATTCATACACTCTTTAATGTTTCTTTCTTGTTTTCTCAAATGAACTCTTAGAGGAGAGAAGAAAAAATTTCTACTTCTATAAATTAAATTAAATAAATTACTTTATTTAGTACCTATTACAGTATATTTTGTCTTTATTTTATTTCAACTGAATGTTAATCTGTTTTTCATTTTTTCTTATTTATTTCAGTAATATATTACTGAATTTTTACTCTTAAGTATAAAGAAAAGTAATTTTACACGAGAGATAGATAATTTCATCATTGAATTATGTCTGGCGACTAAAGAAAAACTTTTCTACTGGAAAGTGTATCACTTGAGAAAAATATATACAAATAAACAAGTTTTTGTAACTACACTGAGAAAAAAGAGGGCGCGTTGCAGCACATTTTCGATTCATGTTGCGCAACTCAACCCTGTGTTCTGCTAGACACTTTTCTGGGGCTTGCAGCGGACCTCTGAGTCGAGGCGAGCTGTATTTGAAGCGTATTACACGCTCTTTGGGGCGTGCGCACGCCCCAGAAAGTGTGTAGAAGAATTCAGGGTTGAGTCGCGCAACATGGATCGAAAATGTGCTGTAATGCGTCCTCTTTTTTCTCAGTGTATAATAGAAATGAAATTTTCAGAAATTTAAAAGTATTAAGGAAAAGCTTTTCTAAAAAAAGTAAATGAATTATTTGCAAAAAGGAATGAAGAAAAATGAAACCATTCTTAGGATGCGGACAAGAAAGCAGAGTAAGGAGAAGCGATGCTAAAGGAAGTGGGTTGTGGTGGTACAACACCCCCGCCTGGGGATGGTGCCGTCGGCAATCGTCAAATTGGAAGCGGCGATAGAACAAGTCCGGAAGGTGGTTCACTTGGCTGCGGTGGATGCGGAAAGGAGATAGCAGAAAGATGGTACCTAAGAGCTGCAGATCGTGCTTGGCATTGCGGTTGCTTAAGATGCTGCCATTGCCGGGTTCCATTGGCTACCGAGTTGACTTGTTTCGCCAGAGACGGCAACATTTATTGCAAAGAAGATTACTATCGGTTCGTATCTTTCTCGCACATCTTTTTTCCCCTCTCATAAACATGTATATATGTAATATATACTTCCTTCTCGTCAATTAAAATCGTCGACAACATAAACCACAACATTTTTTAATTCATACCTTGCATATGTATCATATTTTCTATTTCAAAACATCTCAACTTTCTTTTTTCTCTTCAAAAAAATTTAAAGAAAAAAAATATCTTAAAATATATAAAAATGTTTTTCTTTATTAAAAAAATAAATAAACGCATTGTTATACAGTTTACAGAAAGTTTGTTTAATTCAACCAAATTTTAATTCATCATTTTTATTTGCATAAACCATACACGTTATTATGGATTCAATTAAATTTGTTTAAACAAATATTTTGTTCTTTAGAATAACAAAAATATAGTTAAATGAAATTAATTAAGTAATTTGGTTTTCTAAAACAAATTTGTGAATTGTGTAGATCAAATTATATTAAACAGCCTGTGATTGTTAGATCTTCAATCTTAATTTTTCGATCATTTTTCTTTTAAAATATTAAATCAATTAAACTACTTTTCTGTGAATAACTTGAACTCTCTAAATCTAAATAAGAGAATTATAATTAAGGAAGATTTCGACTATATCAGCAATTAGTGACATCTATTAGAAGTCAATTAAACTCTTTGGTTTAGAGTCAGGTGTTATTCTTAAGATAATTATTCCGATATGGTTGTCGGTAAATAATTATATTTTTTGAATTTAATTTTTGATCTGAAAAAATAAGCTGCGTGAACGACTGCACTGTGCATCTGTGAGGACTCGAACCCCAGTTAATAGCTGCCTTTCGCGGGACTAACGCCTACCAATGCACCATGCCAACACAGCCTGGACGTTCACGTTTCTTATAATCTCAGATCAAGCCCATACACTAGTCGAAGAGCTGTATAGTTAATGTAGGAAATTATTTGCTGATGAAGAATTTTAATTAAGGAAGATTTCGACTATATCAGCAATTAGTGACATCTATTAGAAGTCAATTAAACTCTTTGGTTTAGAGTCAGGTGTTATTCTTAAGATAATTATTCCGATATGGTTGTCGGTAAATAATTATATTTTTTGAATTTAATTTTTGATCTGAAAAAATAAGCTGCGTGAACGACTGCACTGTGCATCTGTGAGGACTCGAACCCCAGTTAATAGCTGCCTTTCGCGGGACTAACGCCTACCAATGCACCATGCCAACACAGCCTGGACGTTCACGTTTCTTATAATCTCAGATCAAGCCCATACACTAGTCGAAGAGCTGTATAGTTAATGTAGGAAATTATTTGCTGATGAAGAATTTTAATTAAGGAAGATTTCGACTATATCAGCAATTAGTGACATCTATTAGAAGTCAATTAAACTCTTTGGTTTAGAGTCAGGTGTTATTCTTAAGATAATTATTCCGATATGGTTGTCGGTAAATAATTATATTTTTTGAATTTAATTTTTGATCTGAAAAAATAAGCTGCGTGAACGACTGCACTGTGCATCTGTGAGGACTCGAACCCCAGTTAATAGCTGCCTTTCGCGGGACTAACGCCTACCAATGCACCATGCCAACACAGCCTGGACGTTCACGTTTCTTATAATCTCAGATCAAGCCCATACACTAGTCGAAGAGCTGTATAGTTAATGTAGGAAATTATTTGCTGATGAAGAATTTTAATTAAGGAAGATTTCGACTATATCAGCAATTAGTGACATCTATTAGAAGTCAATTAAACTCTTTGGTTTAGAGTCAGGTGTTATTCTTAAGATAATTATATTATAGTCGAAATCTTCCTTAATTAAAATTCTTCATCAGCAAATAATTTCCTACATTAACTATACAGCTCTTCGACTAGTGTATGGGCTTGATCTGAGATTATAAGAAACGTGAACGTCCAGGCTGTGTTGGCATGGTGCATTGGTAGGCGTTAGTCCCGCGAAAGGCAGCTATTAACTGGGGTTCGAGTCCTCACAGATGCACAGTGCAGTCGTTCACGCAGCTTATTTTTTCAGATCAAAAATTAAATTCAAAAAATATAATTATTTACCGACAACCATATCGGAATAATTATCTTAAGAATAACACCTGACTCTAAACCAAAGAGTTTAATTGACTTCTAATAGATGTCACTAATTGCTGATATAGTCGAAATCTTCCTTAATTAAAATTCTTCATCAGCAAATAATTTCCTACATTAACTATACAGCTCTTCGACTAGTGTATGGGCTTGATCTGAGATTATAAGAAACGTGAACGTCCAGGCTGTGTTGGCATGGTGCATTGGTAGGCGTTAGTCCCGCGAAAGGCAGCTATTAACTGGGGTTCGAGTCCTCACAGATGCACAGTGCAGTCGTTCACGCAGCTTATTTTTTCAGATCAAAAATTAAATTCAAAAAATATAATTATTTACCGACAACCATATCGGAATAATTATCTTAAGAATAACACCTGACTCTAAACCAAAGAGTTTAATTGACTTCTAATAGATGTCACTAATTGCTGATATAGTCGAAATCTTCCTTAATTAAAATTCTTCATCAGCAAATAATTTCCTACATTATCTAAATAAGAGAAATTTCACTTATTTTAAGTGAATATTCACTTATTCCATGTTTCAAAACTCTTCCACGTAGAATAAGTGAATATTCACACATGAAATAAGTGAATTATATTCACTTATGAATAAGTAAATTACATTCACTTATGAATAAGTGAATATTCAATTATGAGATAAGTGAATACTCAGACATTAAGAAGTGAATGTAAATAAATAATCAGGATCAATATTATATAAAAAAAATATTTATTTACTATCAACTATTTAACAATCTCTTCTCTTCTCATTATCAGTCTGAAACTTATAAACATGTCAATTTTTCAACTTTTTTAAGCTAAATTCCCAAACGGTCACCCATCCTAATATTAACTGCAAGCAATGTCGCTTAACTTTTATGATCAACGAGAAACATTACAATGCCACTTAATAAGTTGCCTTATACTCATAGAAAATTATTGGGTGATACTTATAAAGAGTTAGTTTATTGTGTTCTACTTTAACGTTTTGTTTAAGATTTCTCTTATTATATAATATGTATATAAATACTTAGTAAATAAAAAGTTAGTTATTAGATTACTGTTAATATAATATTTAACCGAATATTTTTTTAAAAATTTATTAAATTTTAAATGACAATTTTTATAATTAAAGAAAATAAAAAATTTCTAATATAATAACTGAAATGATAAAAACATTGTTTTTAAACTTTTAAAAGTTGGTATAAATAATAAATTGTAATATAATGCGCAGATGAATTTCTTTTTAACTAAATATTTCACTTATACATAAGTGGGGATTTCACTTATTGATAAGTGAAGACAAGTTCACACATAAAAAAGTGAATATTCCACTTATGTATAAGTAGATTCTACTTATTAATAAGTGAGAAAAAGGTTCACACATGAAAAAAGTGAAAATTTCACTTATTCAGATTTAGAGAGAAAATATTATATAACTAGCTGTCGGACCCGTCTTCGACGGGTTTTAGTTTCGGCTAATACATTTGATAGGGTTTCTACCAACCGGGAAATAGCCGGGAATTAAATTTTACTGGGAAAAACTAATAATTAGTTACCATTAACTATTTCGTGAGGAAAATATTACTATTTCAATCAGTGACAGATTTTTTTCTATCAAATTTGATATTCAGGAACAGTATTTGGCAACTTGTAGTACTTTGTGCGTTTGTAGTACTGCAATTAATGTATTAAAAATTAATCCTAAATTACAACCAGCTTTTGGAGTCAAAGAAGAGTCTAATTATAAATAATTGTGTCACAATTAGACAATTAGACAATAAAAATTAAAGTAAAAAGCAGTTTTTAAAATCAAATTAATATAATAAAACTTTTTTAATTTGATAAGAAAATTCCCGGTTTTTCCTGGTCAAATTAAACTCCCGGCTATTTATCGGTTTCCCCGCGCAATTGGTAGACACTCTGTCAATTCTATTATGGTAAACTAAATCCCGTCAAAGACTGGTACTGGTATATAACATATTTTCTTAAAAAAGACTATTTTCATAAAATAAAAATAACCCCAAAAATACTACTGAATTAAACTTGATAGTAATTAATAACAATTATAATTTTTTCGATTTTTTGATATGGAAAGTATTTTTATACTTACATCTTAGTCATATCATTTTTTGTGCAAAATTATGCTAAAATATGACTAAATTACATGTAACACTCAATTATACAGAGTTTAAAAGCAAATCATCAAAACATGTAAAATTTGTGATTTTTAAAATTTTTTGAAAACATTTTTATACTTTAATCTTAGTTATAAGATATTATTTTTTAAAAATTATGCTAAAATGTGACTAAATAACATGTAATACTCAATTATAGAGAGTTTAAAAGCAATTCATTAAAAAATAAAAAATTTGAAAAATTTCGATTTTTTGAATTTTTTAAAAAAAATTTTATACTTACATCTTAGTTATAGGACATTATTTTTGGCAAAACTATTCTAAAATGTGACTAAATAACAAGTTATACTCAATTATAGAAAGTATGAAAGCATTTTTTAAAAAAATGTAAAATTTGAAAATTTTTGATTTTTGAATTTTTCGAAAAAATTGAATATCTTCCGTTCTAATTAATATTTTTCAAATCTGTAAATTTATAAACCTTCCTTGGCCCAAGGTCTAACATTCTGCCAAATTTGGTTTCAAATGGTTCAGCCGTTTTTAAGTGATGCGCGAACAAAGATTCTGTGACATACCGACACACATACATACATACATACATACATACACGAAATTTTTTATTTTTTTTTTGATATATTTGGAATCCTTGATGCCTAAAACGAATAATTATGTGCGAAATTTAAAGTTGTGAGCAATGTACAGACAAAAGTCTGATTTTATATTATATAGATGAGGAAGGACAGCGTAGGATGCAAAAGTTTTAAAATTATTAAAAAATAAA